CTTAGTCCACAAAAACTTAAATGAAGTTTGACCATCCAACTTAATTGGCTGACATGGACAGGGACACTTCACAGCTACACTCAACAACTCCCTGAGAGGTCTGTGTGGCAGATAGCACAGCTTGCCCAGATGCTTCTGCCACTCTAGTGTTTAATTTGTCCCACAAATTCTAGGGGCTGGATCGCATGGATCACTCTGCTCATGAACACTGAGGGAACTCGTAAATTGCATGGATCAATACTGAAGCTATTATGCTCAATCTTTAGTGTTTCACAAAACTGTGGAAGCACCCCCTGCTAGAGAGGGAAAAGCAACGTTTTCTGCTGAAATATAGTTTCTGTACTTTACTACATTCTAAACCAGAATGTGACAGTCCCATGAGACAGCTGGTAAGTGAATAGCATCCACTTTATAGCACATCAGCTTCACTTAAGCAAAGCTCACTCTCTAAGGAAAGAGGATACAATTTTTTTTTGTTCAGCAGAAAAAGCAAGCACCATGAAACAGTGAATTACATGAAAGCACCAAGTAATTCACCGGAAGGGATTTAGAACCACAGTTCAAATTTACATCTATGTCAGACAGTCATCAAAAAAAGGCTCTGCTAGCAAAGAGAAGGAAAAAATACAGAATTTGTCATTGCATGATCTCATGCCACTTTGTGGACTTTGAGTAATACCAGATTAATCACAGTGGAACACATCAGCAAAGCTGATTTTAGATTGTTAAAGAGAAAGGCATTACATTGGAGATGAAAGACAGCCTCTTCAAACAGTTGCCGGAAATTCAAACTGACCCCCTGACTGGTATAATTTTGATGTTGATGGAGATTACTGCTTTTGCTTTTCTCTACTGCTAGTTCTTCCATTTCTATGTCCATGTCCTGGTTTGGGATAATAACCAGACAGACCTAAAGGTCATCACTGAAGTTCTTGTCTCATATTTCTGGCTTCTTCTCAAGCAGGGAACATCATAAACCTCAGAAGAGAGACTGCTCTGAACAGTTTCCCCCCTAATTTCAACACACAAGAATTTCAGATTAATGAAGATCTAAATACTTCTCTGACATCCCAACAGTCATTGAAGTTTTAACATCATTTAATGACAAATAAAATATGTTTTGGCTCTGGGTATGGAAAGAACTGAAATATTGTCTGAATATTCATCCAGGGCAAATAAACAGAAGAAGCTTCAACACTTTGAGACCTTGCTGATCAGTGAACCATTTATTAGTTCACCCAAAAGTAGCAGAATGTTTTCTGTCTCTTGATTTCTTAGGGAAAAAGAGTGCCATGCTGCCTTTCAGATATTATAGAGGTGTAGTCTAGCTTTACTTCTAAAGCTGAGAACTCACCATAGCTGAACCACACAAATCTTGCATGAGAATTCACTTTTGTAAATGAAATAGCAGTTATACAGCTGCTTGATGACTATAGATGAGCTCCAAAACAACAACCACTAAAGGTCTTTGGACAATGAGGACACAAACTACATAATTCTTATTGGATGCATCCCTGCCTCATGGAGTGACATACGACAAAGCTTTTATGTTCTGAATTCAGGTTGACAGAAAAGAATCAAGAACTTTTCCTAGCTGAGCCTTCATCTCCATCAGCTAAGTTTGCAAGGTGTTTTGGAGATCCTGTCCGTTGCTGTAGCAGCCCAAAAACCATACAAATATCTAAATGTAATACCAGTTTTTGAAAATAAACCAAGGCCTGGCTGCACTTCAAGTGAGGAGAGCACATGCCTTATCTTCAGCTTCTTTGATTACAATAAACTTTGTAAATGCTACCAAAGGGGAAGAAAAAAACACAGAGTTCATAACTATAACATGTGGGCATAAGGCATATTATCAGCTCCTGACCTGACAACAGGCTGTCACATGATAGTGCTGATTATTGTTTTTTTTTTCCTGCCTTCTTGATTCACCCAAAGGTGTTTCCTCTGCCAGTTATCTTAGAGAAAGAAAGTAATCTTTTGGTTTCCATTAGGTTTCTACAGCAAAAGAGCCACAGTACTGACCTGTCTCAAGTTTAGACATTTCACTTTGTCCTTGACCAAGGAAAGTTCCCAGACACACACAACTGAGCTTGTTCCAGATGTGATTATGGTAGTTGCTGAAGGACACACAGCGCAGAGGCACTTTCCCCAGTCTGCCATGCACTCAAATACAGTCATGTTCTGCACAAGAAAGCAGCTTTAAGTCAAACACTCATCTAGCAATGCCATGCATTTATTAATATCAAAAGGCAGATTCAATTTTCAGAACTGAGCATCCATTTCCTCAAATCCAGGAAAGAAAAGCTCATCTTAACCAGTTCTCTATGCTCACAGCACAGTTGCGTAATATGTGCACACACAGGCTGCGGCTGCATGCAGCTCTGCCATCCTCCAGGGGCCAAACAGGAAGGCTGGACAAAGGTCAGAGTCTCTGGAGATCTGAGTCCCAGTCCCTCTTGTGCCACATACTTCCTACGTAACTTCAGGCAAGCTCATCCTGCCATCATACAGTGACAGAATGCAAACGTTCAATGTAGATTAAAAAGAAAGCTCAGGCTGTGATGGCTACTGCTAACAGAATTAGTGCTAGGCTCTGCAACCCCCCTCTTTCTTGGGCTGAAAAAAAAAAAAAAAAAAAAAAAGCCAAAGCACTACATTTCATTCTGTACCGACAGCTCTGTTAGCAGCACCCAAGTCAGCCTAAACCAACGTCAGGTCTATTACACATTGCTACAATCATAGCACAAACCTCCTTGTGCTCACATTCCACATTAGCTCTCTCCCACACAAGGGGGACAACACTATGGTGCTAATGATTCTGGTGGAGCTGGATGGCATAGCTACAAAAACTATAACACACAGAACAAACGTTTCTTCACCTACTTTTAACAAGAACAAAAAATTATTTTAAGCTCATGTTCAGAGGCACTATTGACCCAGAGAGAAATCAAGTTTGACTCCCAACTACTTCTCATAGTGACTGTGTAATCACACTCACTATGCTCAGTGTCACTAGGCTCAGTGACACCCTGACTTTTGAAGAGACAAAACAAATAATTTATACCTACAGCAGGACTATGATTTGCTAAACACTGATTTTAAGTGAAGTTAATGGAGAAAAATCTCAATAATTTTATATACAGAGTGGAAAGTAAAATACCTCTCATGGCTTTTTCACTTCCATTGACTGTGGGTATGTCTGTAAAAATATAATGATGCGGCTTGCACAAATACCCATGTCATGTATTCTGCAATTCTGGTACCCAAGCTAACTCAGATGTCTTTGCATGTCATAACACTGTCCCAAACAAATCAAAAAATCAGTGTGTTTGTGGTAGAGAAAGAAACTGAATCTGTCAATTTCCCTGACAAGCAGTGTGATGACATAGACTGTTGATTTTTAGCAGCAAAGAAGAGCATTAACTTTCTAGAACAGAAGACATTATTATTTCGAATGAATGCACTGGGCTAAGCTTGGGAGCCAGAGGGGAATTGACAGATGGTCCTATCTTAATTCCAGCAGAAGGTTCTGCACAATGAAATTTCTAATTGGTGGCCAGGAGACCTTGTATTGTCCTTACAACCTATGACATGAGGTTTCTCCTTCATTTTGATGGACAACACAGCCACTGTAAAGAAAACTTGAGATAATTTAGAGGGGAAATGCCCCATTTTTCAGCAGGGTAGAATGATTTTGTACTCTGTTGGGATATCCAACTTGAGATTCCTCAAGAAGCTTGACTGTGAGAAAGTCTCGTACAGCATCCTCTGAAATCAGCTCCCTAACAGCCTCTGAAATGGGTGCTCAAACCAAAGACTACACATACAATTAATTTCTGGAATACCTAGATTTTATCTTATTTACCTTTTCAGACCCGTAGTTGCCAAAGCAGCAGGTGAAGTCCTCAAATCCCCAGCAGAATGTTTTGCTCCAAAGAGGAGGAATCAAAACTTTATTTTTTTCAACAGCCAGAATGCCTTTCTCAGTATGAACAATGTGCCCAATAGCTCCCTTGGGACAGTCTGACAAGACAGAGAACATATTTAGTTCTGTTTTTAGAGCACTTATGTTAACTTTCCTCCTTGCATGGCTTGTGTGGTGAGGCTGGCAAGTACCACAGCTGGGTTCTGTGCTGTGGCCAGGCCCACAGACAGAAATCCACTCTACAACTGAGGTTTCAGACAGAAGAGTGGAAACCCTCGTCTCCAATGGATCACATAAATCCATGCCGGGGGCGTGACGTGCTCCGAAGGAGGGGGTTTAACAGCAGTGTCATTAAGCTCCTTTCCACTGGCAGACTGCCTTATGACATGCACTACAGAGGATGCCAGGTATGTCACCAACAGCCTCTGCACTACAGCCCACTCTCCCCACAAAGATGTGTGATGTCAAGAACACCACCATGGGATGAAAGAGTAGACACATTGAAATTTTCCAGGCTTCTTCACAGTAAGAAAAGTAACAGACTAAGAAAAAGATGAAGAAACAGAGAAGATTTAAAGATTGAGAGGTGGAGAAAGACAGACAGTATTTACTTTGCTGTTGAATATAAAAAGAGAGAATGAAAATGGAGAACAGTGAGTTTTATGTTTCAATTTAACATATTCAGAATGCAGAAGAGAGAGAAGATCTAGGTGTCTTATAAAGAAAATCTGTTTTGAACCCTACAACAGAAGTTACAAGATTTAATCTGAGTATTTGAGTGTTTTCAATGCCCACTCACAAAACACACATACACAAACAATAGGCAGAAGGGATCTTGATTGTACCAACTCATACAAAGCTGTGTGACTATTTTTGTGCTCTTGAAAATCCAGGTTCACCCCATCCATGAATTCTGCACTTATGAGCACAGAAAATGGAGCACAGCCCCTGCAGTACCTTTGATTGTAACTGGTGAGAGCTTCAGATTTTGCAGGCTGCTCATCAAAGGAAGAAGTCCACTTGAGTGAAGGGACATCACAGTCTCTCTTCCTGATGTATTTTTCCCTTGGGCATGGTTTAGTGAAGAGCTAGAACAAATGAATAGCATTGAAAAATGAATCTCCATTTGCCAGATTGTGCAGGAGAGATATCTGTTTAAATCCTTAATCATGACTCTGGGACTGTCATACATGAACCTCTTCTTTAAAATAAAATCTTACCCTTATTACATTTTTGTCAGACTACATCCCTTCCTCACAGAGATAGCAAGCTAATCCCAGAGATTCAGGAGAAGAGAGAGAAGCATAAGAGAGACTTTGAACTGCTTTTCTTTGCCTGTACCCATTCCCAGACTAGTGGTTACTCATGTGACTCTAGGACCAGAACTCAGATTTGATGCCACAGCTGTATGGTATACAACAGGAACAGCATGGTTAGAAAGCAGAATCACACACATGTATGTGGGTGCATACTGATGTAGTACACAATATGGAGAAGTCCATAAGCCATCTTTCAGCAGATTTAAATCAAAAAATAGCTCTGATTTATGTTTCTATTCTTGCTTTCCAGGTTAAATACTATGAGATCAAAATAAATTATGCTCTCTGCTCTCACAATAAAGTGGTACCTGCTTTGGTATCTGTCCAAAGTTGCTGATAAAACCCAGGATGGTGCTCTTAATCAGAGGATCTTTAATGTTGTTGAGGTCCATCTTGTCTCCGTAGAAGTAAGGGTGATAGGTGTTAACTGCCTCTACCGCAGCTGAGCCATGTTGCTTGTGGCCAAAAATCAGATCTATCCAGCGATGGAGGTGTGCACTGACATAGTCACTTTCCAGTGCCTGGAACCAAAAGAAAATGAATTAATTCAGTAGAGTGTATCCATTACAAATGCATTATGACTTTCCAATCCCTACTGGAGACTTAAATTCTCTGCAAATAAACCTTCACACTTTCAGTTCCTCCATGACCATCACTCTCAGCACATCTTCACAAAATGCAACCAAAGAGATGAAGGGTGGATCCCCACAGGCAAAGGAAGGACAGAGTGCAGCATGCTTTACTTAGCAGACACCAGGAGCAACATGCTCAGAGACAACACAGGCAGGTTCCACTAAGCAAAGTCAAAGCACTCCACAGATCTCGGCACATCCTCTAGCTTCCAGCACACATTAAAGCTTGCACTATCATGTCTTCACCAACACTGCTACTGACATAAGATCATTTAAATGAGCAAAACATTTGTTAGCATTCGGTACCACCACTTTGCTCTACAGATAAACTACATGTGAATTAAGGTACCAGTCTATTTGTAGAAATAAGCCTTAGTTATGAATCATACTGAGTAGCAGAGACTTTATTTGAGAAGATACATATAAACATTGACTGATAAGGGAGATGACTAGCAGAGGGGTTTTAAGAGGCTGAATGCCATGAACCAGCAAAGAGAATGTAGAGGCTGTATTGAAATGGCAAGGGGTGCTGCAAGCCAAGATAGAGAAGTGGTTTTGCAATGGCAGAATTGGGGTGCAGCAGGGCAGCTGTATGACAGAAGCTTCAAGAATGCTTGGCTTTGATCAAGAAACGTTTTGCTACCCTTACAGAGCTTAAGCAGAGAGAGTTGTAGCACCAGATTTCCTCATCCTGAAAAAACTCAGGGTCTGAACTTCCTCCCCCAAAATAAGAAATGGTTAATTTTGATTAGATTTGCCACCCATAGTAACAGGTGTGTGGATTAATGGAGACAGAAGAAACAATTACTACTGGAGAAAACTGGGAGAGATGCTACAAGGCAATTCATCCACCCCCAGCGTGGGCTCCCCACAAAGCTCAGTGAAATCACAGTGGAAAAATTGTTCTTTGAAGACCCAGACAACACGTTCATAAGCAGGGGACACAAGTTTGAGTCAAACCTTTGCCCACCTCCCGGTTAGCCAGCCTTACCCATGAGGCTTCACTAAATGCTACTGCCTCTACCATCACCTGCTTCACAAAATTTTTGTGCATTCGCACACAGCCTTGCCCAATGTTTCAAGCTGCAATGTTTTAAGCATTATTAAAACTGCTTTCCTATCTCCAAATCATTTGACTGTGTAATACTCCCTGATGCTCAGTTAAAGGTCTCCCAAGCAGACCATCCCACCCAAAGCACAGCAGAAATAAACAAGATAATAGGATCCAGAACAATGGCTCATTTCACAGAGCAGACAGTTAGCCCAGTGCAGCTGGCTTAAATGACCCTGCCCACAGCTATAACGGTCACAGGGCAGCTCAGAGAACAAGCGCAGCATACAATCTGTCCCCTGCAAACAACAGGAAAACACTTATGAACAGACTCAGAACTCATCCTCATTAATAAAAGCAGTTAGTCCATGAATTACAAACTGTAAATTTTGCCTGGCATCACTGCCAGAGCAAAACAAAGCAACCAACAGACTTGCAACTGTGCAGCCTCGCAGTATTTCACTAAGCAGTATGACAAGCCCAGCCAGGGAGGGAGAACTTGCAGTCTAAGGAGGAAGTAAATACATTTATTTAGTAGACTAGATTCCTAACTTATTAAACATGAAACAGGGAGCTACTCACAGCTTTACATCAAGAACAATTCTTTGCTCTCATATTCTTTAAAGCAATAGTCAAACTTCAGAACAGAGTTGACCTGGAACAGTTTAATGCACCAAACTCACTGTGAAGCCTGCTGAAAATGGCCACAATACCAGTTATAAGTACATCCAGTCTTGTGGATGATTTCAGAGGAGACAAACCCTCATGTTTCAGAATTCAAGATCTTTAACTCTTCACTTCAGGGCTGGATTAACTTTCCCAGGCAGGCTAACGAACTTTCCACAGAAAGATTTCTTGCACTCTCCTGTGTAACATCTAGTAGTACCTATGGTTGGAGAGAGAATACTGGACTGACTGCACATGAGGTCTGATCAGGTCTGGCAAATCATTAAGAATGTGACTTCATAAACATGATCTTTCACTTGCTAAACTGCTGCTATTTGAGATTTGAATTAATTCGTAAAAGTTGTATGGCTTTATCAGCTGTGCCAATGTTATCAAATGGTGCAGCTCAGTGGAAGATCTATAGAACAGAACAGATGGTAGAGAGGGCCCAGTACCCACATTATGTGCACTGTGGGGGCTTTACTTCAAACTCGATCTAGTATGCTCCCACAGGCTGAATTCCACCAGCATCTGGAGTGCACAACTGGAATGCAGCTTTTGGTTTCGTTTCATCCAAAACAAATCTAGTTCACACAATCTGAGATCGCTCTACAATGAGAGCAAAACCATGCTATGCAGGGATGATTGATAGATTCATTTCCAAACTGTGCCCTTACTCCAAAGTACAAGGCAAAAGCAGATGTTCCCCATTGTATCTAAGTGCCTTTGCAGTGCCCATCATCATGCAAGCAGTAAGGAGCACAGCTTGGTACTTTACACTCCAAACAAGCCACAATGTAAGAAACAGCATTTCTCCCTATGTTTTTATTTGAAAAACTTCAGTGTAAAATAGCAGCAGCTTTCAGGAATCCATGGATTCTGTCTGCAGCACCTCTGTTAGGGAGGACAGAGTTGTCTTTCCCATGTCTGGGAAACTGAAGAACAGAGACTAAGCACCTTGGAAGGTAACAGAGAAAGCATGAGACAGAGCAGAGGAAGGAACCAGAGCACCCCAAAACCTACGTGCGTTATTTGGAGCCACTGGGGAACACCAGGGAACTGTTGCACATTTGACCTCAGCGGCCAAAACCTACTGAGCTGCTTCCCTGCAAGGGAGGGATTTGGCACTTCATAGGCTCAACTCTTCATTCTAGCAAGAACTGTACTTGAGCAGCAAGTCTGCAGTGCATACAACACTCACACAAGGATCTCATTCCTCATAGTAGATGTATCATCAAGTGGTTATGGGCACTGACAAAATCTCCAGTCTCTCTTCCCTTCCACCATCTTTCAGTGTGACTAGAGCTCTGAGCTTCTAAATCACCCTCTAGGCACTTTTACAGATGCCTGACTCAGTAATACCTATTATTGTGCATGTACAGGAGCTTAAGCAATCTGAACATGGCTCTTAATCTCCTTGCATCTCAGTTCTTTGTCAAAAACATTCTCTCCTTATCCTCTCAATCTATATAGGTTGCAAACAGGGACGGGACAGAGTCTAACTGAAAAACAGAAGCCAAATAAAAATTCAGACAATATTTGAATAGCATTTTCTTTCCAAATAAGAAAATAAATCTCAACTCTCAAATTTTCTCATGTATTAAAATCCTCTCTGCTCAATTATAAATTTGGAAAAATTGTATCCATTTATGTTACTAATAATGAAGCTCTATACCATACAATATTAGTTATAACAGCTACATCATAAAATATTTTCAGTCCAGCTTGTAACTAATATAAATATTATAATAAAAAGATCATTTTGAAATGTTTTAATAACAAAGACAGAAAGCTGAAATGATGTATTGAGACATTTTCTTGTTACTACTGACACACTCCCATTTCAGCCTGATAGTCTTCTGGTGAAAGCTCTTCCATACAGTTTTTTCACAGACAGGTCTACTCACTGTGTGCTTCTCACCCCAGTAATACTGTGCTGTGATCTCAGTGACACATATAACTGTTACAAAAATACAAGGTAAAACAAAAACTAAGAAGATTAATGTAGCTTCTGTAAAGGGTCTGATTAGTTACTGAATATGCTCTAAATTCAATGTACTGGCTTAGGTTACTAAACTGTGTGGTAGCACGCCACTGAGTTAAGCAACTAGGCATGGAGACACTTGAGACCCGCTCATAATAGTAATCAGCTATTCTCACACCACATAACTTGGAATATTATTAATTCACAAGTTTTTACATATTGAGGCAGGATTCTGGGGTAAAGAGTGGTAGATGACTACTTTCAATCACATTTTCAAAATGACTGAAAACAACATTTTTAATAAGAACATACAAAAATTATCCATTTCAAAATGGGTGAAATAGCAAGATAAAATTTAACTTCTTTAAATGTTTTTTTTAGCATTATTGTTCTCACACAAATTTAAAGTGAAGTGTTCAGGTCATGAATTCATATTAAAGACTAAAGGGTGCCTCTTAATCAATTAAACCAAAAAATGAAATATCTCACTATATGCTCAACCGTTCTGAAAAAAGAATCAAAGGCAAGACTACTACACAAAAAAGCAGGCAACACAGGCTCAGATCACATCCACATTCACTCACACGAGTAACCTGAGCACATGTGAATGAATCCGATGTTGAACAGGCTCACTCTCATACTCAGAGTTATTCACAAGCCAAAGTGTTTGCAGCATCAGGAACCTATAGAGACAGCATGGAATGCAGGTGCTACAAAGCACTGATTTGTCTTCGGAATATAATGTTTTAACAACTAATTATTCGCAAGATATGCAGATGATGCACACTACCAGGAGCCTCTTCTCTTAAAACTAGCTTAATAGAAGAAAATTTTCTTCAGGATGGATTTACAGTCCATAGACAAGCTTATAAAGGATTTTTATTTTCAAACATGGATAAAAATGGCATTGCCAAACATGGGACTAAGGCTAGATTAGTGACAGCACCCAGGTGGCTGCATGGAGAAGGAGGTATAAAAAGGGGCAGGAATATATAAATCAAACAGATGTGTAAGGTCTCAAGAGGGAAAGGAGAGAGACTTCAAATATAAGAAGCACAGCCATACAGACAGTCAACATGTAAGAGCACGGGGAAGGAGATTTGTACTTAATGCCAGACAACGAAGATGGTCCCCTTCCAGTTGTCTCTGTACTGACCTGAAACAAGGTATCAGGACATCAGAAAGAATGATATGAAGATTCAAGAGAATGCCCAAGAAAATAATGGAAAAAAAAAAATAATGGACTGGATTGTCCATCCAGTAGTATGGACAATCACAAAAAGTACAGACCCTGAATGTAGCACAGAAGTGCAAAGCAAGGGACATGAAAGTAATGGTAAATTAATGGGAGCATTGTGGTTACTGTCAATGGTTAAGTCAACAGTGAGGAAAATAATATTTACAAGACAAGAGTATGACTCTAGTTTTGTTCAAAACAGGAACAAAAAAATAAGGCAGTCAGTAAGGAGGTCAGAAACAGGATTTAGGAACTAATATTTGGAGAGGTCAACTCAGGAAAGGTTTATTTGGAAACATCAAAATAAAGAAGATGGTTGCAGCCACAGGTTTGGATGCAATCACCTACAAAGAGATTATAAAAAGTGAAAGCTGAACACCCAAGGGCAGGACCTGCATAGCATAAGAGAGGTGAGAAGAACCTACTGAGGCAGAAACTGGAGGTACACGTGGCAAACCAGGATGATGCAACACCTTAAAATTCATGGGCTATTTGTTAGCCCCACCAGTATTAACCCATATAATCATCACACTTCTTGTACACAGCAACAATCTCACACACTCATAAATACAGACTGACTCCTTTTGCCACAGGAAATCTGATGAGATAATGCAGGGGCACTATAGTACAGCCCATTCCCTTTTTAGCTCTAACAAAAAGAGACGTACACCAAGATACTCTGCTGCAAAGTCTGCATTCAAGGGAACAACCTTAATACAGAATTGCCTTTGCACTCACTACTGCGTAGCAGGTGACATCATACAGAAGTAAGACTTTCTAACTATTAATAGATAGCACTAATTGCAGTCAGTCTCAGGACATTAAAGCTATTTGCTTTCAAATTGCCAAGGCTGACTCCATTAGAAGCAGGAAATCTCATTAGGTTTTTCCTTCTCAAAATAAAAAAAAAAAAAATCATTGTAGTCCTGGCATGACTCAGAGATGGAGGTACAGTTTAAATAAACACACAGCTGGTTAGCAACATGGAACTGTATGCATATAAATGCTGTGTGCATGCATTATGTTATGTTCACATACACTTACGGGCTGAGATAGTTCCGTGCCACAGACATAGATACAAACCTCACCTGGTCTGGAAAGTCATCTTTGATTCAGGGTGAATCGTTAGGCAGACAAGTAGACATGGAAAGTGCAGAACTCATACAAACTCCGCAAAGGCAGGATGCATTTGGATCTAAAATTTTGGTTTGTGACTGTGGCCTTCAGAGTTTCATTTTCAGTGGGACCCAGTTCAGCATTTCATCACAAATCTTGATATTCACTGACCTGTCTGTGCAGGAGAATGAATTTATGGGGGTCCCCATCTGCCCAAGGAGGAAGCTGCACATCTCCCAGCACAGTTCCATCTTGCATGCAGCCTGCAGGAATTGCAAAGGGAGAATTAAAAACAAGAACCACACACATTGCGAACAGGAACAGCTCTTCTAAAACACTGAATTCAAAGGAAACTGAGGTGATTTTCACACATGTAGTTTCAGGTTCTACATCAAATATAGTGCCATAGAACACTGCAGAACCAATTTCTCCTGGGACTTCTAATCCAGTAATAAAGTATCAAGATGTTCTAGTAACTGTCACTAATACAGTAAAAATAGGCATGTTCTCAGCACAAACCACTGACTGCAAACTCAGACAAGACAAACGTTGACACAACTTTGTTCTTCCACATAATCTGGCCTAACTGCCAGATATTCCTACTAAAGCAGCCACTGAGAGGGATTTTGTTCTCAAGTCCTTTGCAATCTGATTCCTTTCAGAAGGTGAGCATATGTTCTGCCCAAACATGCAATTCCTTTGCCCAGACTAATAGGAACTACAGTCCCTTCTGAGCTGGAAACTTGGTTCTTCTGATATCATTCCAATATCAGAAGCCTGTATTCTTGTAGCCTTATCGTAATAAAAATTCATCACTAGAGAGGCACATCAGTCCACATAGTTCAGGGAACAACTCTTGACTTGTGATTTGTATCTTTTTGCTTGGCCGGATGCTGGGGGGCAGATGGGGAGCACTGAAGTCCCTTCCAGAGCTTACCAAGTTCAAAGTGATTTGCATTGGTTAGGAATTCTGGCAAGTAGAAGAATTCAGGGATGAGTTCCCTGACATCGCTCATATTGTCCCTTGATGCCGATTCCCACGTGCTCTTGACACTGTGAAACATCCTGTCTGCAACATCAAAACTCCCACCCTGTGAAATGGGGAGAGAGAAGAAGAGTGCAGTGTGAGTATTCTGTTAAATAAAAAGCAGATGCAGACTCTTAGCCAGTTCTGCAATAATCACCTTATCACATGTTTGATTAGGTGATATTTCAAGGTCTGTCCTAGCTCTATTTTACTGTGATCTTATATTAGGGGCTGTCTTAGTCCCAATTTGTAGATATGTATGTTGAGAATACCATAAAGCTTGGAGTCTTATCATAGCTTGCAATAACATAGAGGAAAGAGACATAGAACAAGTATCTTTAAATAGTTGTGCAGTGCAGTGAAAATGTATGAATAATTGCTCATCCTCAACCATTCAATCCTCACAGCTGCTTCACTAGGCAAAAGAGAACAAGCCAGTGGGTTTGCAGAATGAAGATACTAAAACCCAGAGGTAGTGCAAAAGTCAATCTGTTAATGAATATGAGATGCAATCAGGTTCTGTCTATAGTTGACCTCCTGGGAAAACGTGATAGCTTTTGGTTTGTTTTCTCTCTGCCTGTAGACTGTTGCATATGCCAGATGAGGATGCTGTCCTTCTGCACAATAACAGTCAACTGAAGCTTTCACCTGCAATCTATTAAATATGAATATAACATCTAAGGATCCTCATGGGATCCTACTCGCATGCACCAGGCGAACCCTGAGAAGCAATTCCCACATTGGTTTCTGATGGTAAGAACCACTGTCTTTTTGACCCCCCCAGTACCTGCACACTTATGCTACAACCCCTTTGGATCTACAAACTCTGCTAAGTCTGGGAACTGCAACTCAAGAAATAAATTTTGCCATATCTTTTGTTAGGGAGAAACTACCCTCATGGATAAGCTATCAAAACACAAAAGGCAATAAACCCTAAGTACTGAAGCTACATCTCCTTGCTTGTCTTTTGAGATAGACTCCCATCAAGCCAACACATACTGCAAATGGAAGGACCTGTTTCCCCTGAGGTGAAATCTGAGCAGGCTTTTGGTCCAGTCTCATCTCTAAATAACAGTATAGTTCTGTCACTGACAACTGTGAAGCCTTCCCACACCCACTCAAGGGACTGAGTGAAAAAGTGACTAATCACATGAGTAAGCTTAGCTGGAGTTAAGCTGCTGCACAAGGTCATCTTGTTCTTGATCATTATTAGGCAGGGACCCTTGGAGTCAAATTCAAATTGAAATTAAAATAGAGTAGAAAAAGGACTATAAATAAATCAACAGCTAACAAGTATCTCATTGAAGCATATTAAAGGGCTTTGTATATTTAATCTGCACACAGTGCACTGTGTCTGCTGGTGATTGATGCTTTTTCATCTTTTTTTGCAGCTTTTATGAGAGCTGATGGTAATCTCCTGAGAAACAATATGATTTGTAATAAAAAGATTACCTGTATTAAATAAAAATAATATATACATAGGAAATGCTGTTAGCGCGACAAATCTGGTTAAAGATATTACCACCACGAAAAAATGTGATTTTTTCCCTGGCTGTCTAATTCATTTTAGAGAAAAGTAATATCTTTAAAACTTAAGCCTGTATTATTTATAAAGGAAGCAATAACTGATTTTCCCATTTCCTATATTAATAAATTTATTTGCATATATTTATATCAGAATTAATGAGTTTTCTCTCTCTATGAATGCAAAAACTGCACTGAAAGGGAAAAAGAGAATCAAGAATTACTTTATGCCTTTATATTGTGAGTCAACAAACTCTTATGGCTTTTCTATAGCTATATACAGTAAGTCTCTGTTTTCTTTCCTTTCAGTAAAGGCCTTACACTGTCATCAGGAATACTGGAAAAGCTGCTTTTTAAAACTACAGTTCAGTGGGGTATATACAAAGCAACTAGTCAAAGTGATCTCTAGGGAGAAGTTAAAACTTCCCATGTTTAAAAAAGTAAGCATCACCGATCCTTGGTGGTGCTTTAAATCCAAAGACCTCAAGTGTTTCTAAGAGATGCTTACAGAGCTGCAAAGACTTACCACATGCCCAGAGATGCCAAGAAGTAATTACCTGCAGACAGTGCTTGAATCACTGCTCAAGAGTTGGTGACACAATGAAGAGTAAGAACCCTATTCTCTATAAGTACCTTTGAGAGGTAAATGCCAGGAAAGAAGATCAGCCTGTTAGCTGAAATGCAACAGCAGGATAAGAATAAAAGGGGATAAAATCTGAGTCAAATCAAAAGCAAGGGTCACTAATTATTCAGGACATGGGTCCTAAAATGCCTTTTCAATGAAGACACTAAACACAGAAACCTTTGCTGTTTTTTTGTGGTGCTGACACCAATTCCTGAAAGGAATTCTAGGAGGTACTTGACTTAAGTTGAAGTGGAAGGTACCATCCAACAACTATCTGATGAGCCAGTTTTTCATCCATTCCAGTACGATATACAAAGCACATACATGCTTTTCTCCAGAGTCAGATCTCAATACACCTAAACAAAGTGTGAAATACTAAGGTTTTAGTAACTCCTGTACAGTTCCCTTACTAGAGGCAATGCTTCCTTACTGCCTTCTTTGGTCAGGTACAAATCAATTCTTTGACTTGAGAAACAGGATGGTACACCAACATCAATTTTTCATAAGGAGTGCACCCAAGTTGTTGCATTTCCATGTCATGTGCATTCAGACTGGCTGTCTGCAAGTTATAAGCACAGCTCTTCCACTTTTTAAGATGCTGAGAAGCTTTCACAGCTCCCAATTCAGCGCCCTTCCAAGGTCTTGAGTTTGGAAATACTCCTTTTCCACCCCGCTCTTGACTTGATCATACAGTTCTCAGGTCTGCCATTTGCCTGACTGCATTTTGAGTTGGCAATTCCTAAGCTGCTATGGGACCAGTCCCCTGGGGGAAATTATAGCAATGAACTCAGATGAACATACAACAACATAAGAGCAAAGGAATAAGAATGGAAGCAGTTCAACAGCTGCAGTGGACAAAATTTCGAGTGCTTCAGATTTCAGCAGCCTTTGAAGATAACTACCCCCACAAAAATGCTGGTTACCTGCTAATCACACAAACACAGCTGCAAAGCAGCTACTCAGGCTGGGAACTTGTTACACATGAAAAGTGTGCCAGTGAGATACAGGAGACTTTGTTGTTTCCAACAAGAAATAACTGCTCCACAGTCATTCATGACTGCAGCTAACATATGGCTCACAGAGTGTGACAGTAACCGTTGCCTCAGGTGATTCACTAACCCATCAGCTACTGCTGGTAACAGCCAATATCATAGGGCTTATTACTTAATTAGCACAGCACTTTATTTGTATTAGTTCATTAAAGAAAAAAAAAGAAAAAGAAAAAAGACCAGCACAACAGCAAAGCACTTGGAAAGCTGCAGGAGGCATGGCCAGCCCTCACCATGCATACAGCATTCTCTGAGTGTGGAATATTCTGGCCTAGCTGTCTCCCTCACATTGCTCCATAAGACACTCCTTAAAAAAATACACTTTTGAGGACCTGTCCTCCAGGTAGACCCTGCTATAACACAACCCATATTACAGAAATAAGGGTGACAACTGTCTGCTAGAGCCCAACTGTCTGTGCTTGTGCATCACCAACTCTCTGCTGAAGAGGGCTGTCAGGAAATTTGGTGCACCTGTATGCTGACCAGCTGGAAAAGGTAAGTACAAAGTTCAGTTTCTATGAAATTTAATTCCATGGTGAGTGCTTTTGGCACCATAAAACAGTGCCAAGTTCAGAACAAGCTAAACCAAAATATTCCTTCTGAAGCACTGGATGTAGTCTCACCCTACTTTCCTTCAGGGAGCTGATCCCATGCTCTCTTATCATTCCCCACCCACCTGTGCATCCTCATCTGGCCCAGGAGTGCTCTTTATGCTATGACAGCCAAGCACCAAATGCTTGCCTGTAGCCGCATTACTGTATGGGCACTTGGGCTTAGAATACCTACCAAGAAAGTCTCATCTGCCCCAAAGTCAGAAGCTTATGTTCAGACAGGTAGTAAAACATTATCTACATGTTTACATGCCTCATCTCTCACAAAATGCAGCACAGGGCCAAAACTAAATAATCCTTCTCCCTCAGAAAAAAGAAAACCAAGTTCATCAGGCATCAATCATGCTCCCATTAAGATGTTTTCACTAAATTCAACTGACATAACATAGAACCTTCAGTAAGCAGAGAGTCCACATACAGTATACATAAAATGTCAAAATAATTAATCTCCTTTAATTACACAGACACCATAATGTGCTGCACAGTTCATGACAAGGTGTAGGAGGGAAGATATCTTGCCCCCTTACCTGCAGAGAACAGAACGTCTGGGTAAACGGCTCCATTCGGACCAGGTAAGATGCCACTATAATTGCTGATGAATAGTGAGTACAGTAATGGCACTGGGCTGACAGCTCTCCTGGAAATTGGATACAAATCAGATTTCAGTGCAAAACATCATCATTGCAAGCTTATAGCATCCAGTTACCTCAGCACAACTAAATAGCGAGCAGGTCTTTAAAACAGATGTGTTCACGGATCTGCGAGCAGAAGCACACCTTGCATATTGCATGGAATGTACACAGTTACTACCATCTCTGTATCTTCTTTTTTTGCCTTACACATTTCATTTTCTGAAGAATAAGGCCTTTAACTTTCCAGACCACCCCCTTCCCTATTAGCACCAAAAAAAGAACTTGAACTCCAGAGGTCAACAGCCTCAACTTCCTGTTTCCTTTTCTTACAGTAGTTGTTAGTTAAGCTGCATGCAGCAGTCTTCTACAGACAAGACTAATGCATGCAGCTGAGTTAACAGAGCAGTCTTTCCTAGTGAACATTGTTTTGGTTTTGTTTTTGTTTTTTTTTTTCCTGTAGAATCTCTTCGTGCCCAAGGGAAGAAGACAATGTAGCAGAATAAGGCAGGTAACGCAGTGCTTGAAGGAATCATTTCTCTTTGAATCCTCAACCAGTTTGTATTCAGAAGTGAGAGGAACTTCTTGGCATGGTG